GCAGGCGGATAAACCCACCGCAGAGCGGGAACGGAGGCGCTGGGCTGGGCACGCACCGTTTCTCATGCTGACTGACGGGCTGCCAATTACGTGGCAATTAGTAGAGTAAATGGCTGAGATATGTTTCCCCTTCCCCAACCGTTTTATGGTTTGGTCATTGTTCGGGGGGCGATGTGTCCGAGCTACCGTGAGTTTCGTATTTGTTAGCCTTAATCAGTTATAGGATGTTAATTATACCTCCAAGCTGACTAACCTCAAGGAGCTGAGCCTTGTGCCCTTGCCAACATGGCTCTTCATTTCCTTCCCTTTGTCTCTCCCAGAGATCAAAAATAGCCGTCTACGAGAAAATGTGGTCGTACATGAAGTCGGCCGAGCCCTCAGTGTTCACCAAAACGACGGCAGACGGGGTGGCGAGAGTGCGGAAGTCAAAGGGGAAGTTTGCCTTCCTGCTGGAGTCGACCATGAACGAGTACATCGAGCAGCGCAAGCCCTGCGACACCATGAAAGTCGGCGGCAACCTGGATTCCAAGGGCTATGGTGTAGCAACCCCCAAAGGCTCAGCATTAAGGTGGGTGGAATAATATAACAATATCCATGTTGTTATAGTATTCCACCTACCCTGATGTATTGTGTTGTCATTTTCTTTCTTGTGGATTTTGAGGTAACTTTAAAGTATAAAATCTTCAGTATTCCATGGAGTTAAATAAGACGGTAAATTATGGTTTCGTTTATTTAATGCATCCATTCTTTTAGTGTTCTCTTCGTGTTGTCCTTTCTGATTGTTTGTTGCTGTTTTAATTTTACAGTTCAATGGCTTTTTCAATTTAAATGGTAAAAGCCAAGTTTACCTGCCATATGTGACGAATGTTAACTGCATGATGTGGTATTCTTGTTACTTTTTTTCTCAAAGACGATTTCCCCATCCCGCACACTTCAGTTTTGAGCAAATGTTATCCTCCATGCCACCTTCCAATATTTAACCCTGTATTTGCTGTACAGACATTTTGATAGCTCCACGTTCTGTGAAATTTTAGCCAATTTGTCCTCTTGTGCTCCTTTTTTTATACGTTACGATTTCCTAAGCATTTGTGCATTATTTTCTTACAAGTTATGTTTTATCGTTTCAAGAAATGCTGTTAACCTGGCAGTATTAAAACTGAATGAGCAAGGCCTCTTGGACAAATTGAAAAACAAATGGTGGTACGACAAAGGAGAGTGCGGCAGCGGGGGAGGTGACTCCAAGGTCAGCCTCAATGTCACCACAATCGGGTACCTTAGCAAAGAGTAATCGGCAAGGCTGTTATTTTCCTTCTCAAGAAAAAAAAAAAGGCAAAAAAACCCAACAGATTAAAACTATTTGAATTATTGTGGTGGGGAAAAAAAGCCATTTGCTTGCCCAGTAGCTCTTTCAAAGAAACGGTCTTTTTTAATATCATAAACAGGCTTGGTCGAGCTTGGAAACCTTATTTAACTAACAGATAGAAAGTTCAGCATTGGTGGGACCTGAGTACATCAGTATTTGTAACTGTGCAAGAAACCAGTGACCACATCTGGCTGCCGTAACCCCTGAGGACAGGGCTTCAGTCCTCCTCCATGACTTAGCTGTGATGTAGAGTGGGTTTTGAGAGGGGTTTTTTCACAGGCATTGGCTATGCCAGCACAGACCTGGAGGTGAGAGGCCTCCCTTCTCCTTTGCTATTCTGGGGAGGGTTCAAGCGAACCAGTACGAGCACGCGCTGCTTTGCTGGCCTGAACTGGTGCTACCAGAGCCCCTGGGAGGAAGCCTGGTGTCTGGAGAAAGAGGGTTTGTAGCTCAGGGAGAGAAAAGGGGGCTGCTCATCTAATGGCAGTGTAGGGTCAAGAGAAAAGTCAGGCCATGATCATAGCAAAGACATAAGGTTACGCAGAGAACGTAGTCACCTGTTTATGGTAAAATAGCAGCAATAACGGTGACGTGTAAGGAGCTGGAGCTGGCAATAGGCAAAGCTGAAACAAGAGAGAGGTAGCTTGCACCAGAGAAGTGTATTGATACCTAAACTGGAAGTGAATCTTAAGGAAAGAGGTTTTCCTAGTTTTCCCTAGAATATTCAGGTGTCACCTTTTGTGCACCGCTGACCAGTGTCTGCACACCCCTGTGCAGGAGCACTGCTTCTGTGCTTGCTCTGCTTTTGGAACAGAAGTGGATTAAAATCCTAGCTCCAGTGACAGCAGTGGCAAAGCTGTCATTGCCTTCTGCCGAGCAGAGGCTTCCAGGCAGCCTGTGTGGCAGCAGACCTCTCAGGGTTGCTTTAGTGAGCCCGTGTACTGCAGAAGTTAACCCGTGTGCTTTCATATTGCCAACCTCACCCTGTACAACCGGCAGTTTCTGCAGTCTAACCTGATGAGGAGAAGCTGTAGCTGGAGTAGGCTTGGTCAGCTGGGGTCCAGGCATTACCAAAAAGAGTTAATTTAAAATACATCGTTATTCTGAAAAGTACTGAGATTAATTTTCATGGTGACACTCTCCTAGAGCTAGTAAAACCAGTTCCTTAAGGAACAATAACTCCTAATTGCTCTTACAAAAATGCTTCAGCTTTGGTCCAAAATCAATAACAACAGTATTTTGAGTAAACTGCAGTTTCGGACAATTACTGCAAATTACTGCTGCATTCTGTTAATAAGAGTTGCTTACATTTGGCTACGTAGGAAATTACTCAGCTGCTCATCTCTGATGTTAGCAAAAGCCACTGTGTAATATTAAAGGAAGGATAAGCTCTCGAATTCAGGTTTGTTCAATAACTGGAGGTCTGCAGTGCTCAGCAGCAGCCTGGGGATGAGTGTGAGCTTTTTTATGCTTTTTAGCTCTGCTGCTCATCCTTCACGCAACATTTTTATATAATGTTACACTTGCCAGTGTATTAAATGTTTAATATTCTCCTGGGATCCAGCACCGCATTGTCTAATGCTGCCTCCATGAAAGAAAACTCGTACAAACCAGCTTCAATGAACTTCATTGCTTCGAGTTCAGTGAATTAAACCCAGCCAGCTAATGCTTACAGCCCAAAGGAAGCTAAATAGGACTTTTAAAATTGTCATAATTAGGGCAGGGCCATCCTTCTAGTTTTCCTTGTGCTGAAAAACCTTTTACAAAGGTCAGTACCATCCCTTAGCAAGCCTTGGCCCTGGTCGGTGCAGTCAGGTGTGCTGTGCTGCCTTGGGTAGGTATCCAGGGAAGAAGGAGGGGGAGCGGACACCGTAACAAGTGTTTTGCTGTTTTAATCTGTAAATCGCAAAGCACTGTCTTGCTGCAGTTTGTCCTGACACACTGTGATGAAGGACTGCCTGTTTGTCTGAGCTACAGACATCGGCTCTTGGGGGCACAGCTCAGCCGGCACAAGTCCCCAGGGAGGAGAACATGGGTTGGAGAAGACGTCCTGCAGAAGACTGTGCTAGGGGAGGCAGGGAAGGGCTTAGCTGTTGTTTCTAAAGATGTTGTAAATCAAAGGGCTTTTTTGTTACAAAGCGGCTTTCCTTTTGAGATAGCGTTTCATAGGCACTGCCTGCTGCAGGCTGCGATGGCGCGGTGTTGCAGCAGACAGGCAGATGCCTTCCCAGCAGCACACACTCCCATCGGCAGGCACTAACGCCGAATTCAGGCTGTACCCCAGCCCTGCGGGAGCCTCGTTGCCCTCTCCGGAAAGGCGAACCCCAGTGCTGCCCTCCAGGAGTTACAGCCCTGAAAGTCTCACTGGCCTCTCTCTCCTCCTCTCCATCCTCCTCATCATCCCATCCTAGCTCTCCAGTTAATTGTTTATATGAACACAACTGAATTTATAGAGTGTTTCAGAGGAGTCGCTTCCAAACTGGTTTGGTTTTTTTTTCCCTTTTCTCTTAAAGGAGGTGGTGTAGCTGGGGGGAATCAGAGGGGATGGAGTGGTGAAGGTGCCTCAGGTGGAGATGCAGACCTTGCACCCCATCACACAGGGTGGCACAGGGACCATTACTCACTCGGGGCAGCTCTCTCTACCGGCTAAGCTGACAGTCCACCTCTCAGCTCTGCCAGTAGAGACCCAGGCTTGGGAAACTGCCGCCCCAAGTTTGTAATCAGCCGCTTGTTGCCTACAGCCGATGAGCTGTGTGTAGCTGTGAGTTGTTGCAGACTGATGGTGCCCGTTTCTTAAGCTGAATTCCTTTGTGCGGTCTGATGTTGTAGCTTGCGCTGAAAGCCAGAGGTAAGTACGCAGCCTTTTTGCTTGTGCCAGCGACTATCGTTGTACCACAGAAGACCCAGTCACCCAGAAAATGCCCTCCCGTGCTCATCCTCCCGGCGGTTTAGCGTGCAGTTCGCCTGCGCTTGGAGATGAATGATTCCAAGGTCACCTCTTGTTATCGTATCTTCATTGCCATTGGAAAAATTAAACAGTGACTTCAGGTTTCGCAAGGATTTTGAGTCTTACAGTGGGAAAAAGAAAATTTATTCAATTGACTTCTGCAGTCTATTCGGTTACATGGACTGTAAGGTTAGTCCTGAGAGTATTCCGTGGTCCTGGGCTCCACTTGTAATTTAAGATTAAAGAGATTATGCTTTTTTAATGAGATGGTTTTAAAGGCCTCAGCTGACATATGTCTCATTTTCAGTGCTCCCCATGTATGCCAGCGCTGGTGTGGAGCAGAGGGTGCCAGTCTGCCCTGCAGTTCCTTGGCTGTCAGTGCTGCCCTGGCGAAGGGAGTTACCCCATTTTGGTAGTGGTCCTTATTTAAGAAGTAGAAGGGAAACGTGCTCCATCCATATGTAATTTGTCTGCGATGAATGTCAGTATGTGTGGGCTGGCTTGTCTGGTGCAGACATTCTGGTACGTGCTTCACAATTTGTTCACTTAGCTCTCCTAAATGAGCGTGAATTTAGTTTCATCTGTTGGATTCATGGCAAAATTACACCGTCTTCAAATTCCCTTGTACATGTGAGCTGAGTTTTCAATCATGAGAGAATGCAAAATAGCAGTTATAAAAAAAGATATTCCAGGAAATACGTTACAGTGTATTGCGAGTTTGGAAACTAATTATTTTGTTTATTATACAATCCTATCATCTCAGAGCTGAGTGATGGCTGAATAGGAATTTAACAAGAAGTAGACAAAAGGGGATGCAGACAGCGGTAGCAGGCTGAGTGACTTAAGTGAAACTAATTACTCAGTCGCATAGGAACAGTTTTCTGCTAAGAGAGATTTCTGTAGTTCTGCTGTTGATACATTTCTTGTATTCTTATACCTTCACAGTAACATTTAGTGACAACCAACACAAAAGGAGGTTGAATGCAGCATCTCGCCAACTTCACATGCCAAGATTCCTTTCTAATTGTTTTACTTAATTTCTTTAATATATTCTTTTTTTAGGCTGATACCCTTTTGGAGTCTACCTGTGAAAGGACATGTGATGTAATACTACTTCATTTTTCAGTTGTTTCATTTTAACCGTAGAATTACTCTTCCAGCGTGCTAGTTGGGCTCTGCCCTCAGAGCCGTGCTCCGTAAAGCATCGCATTCCCAAGCCCTTCCAAGCTGTGAGCGCGGCCATTAGCAGATGGGATTTGCTTCTCCATTCCTCTGTGCTATTTTGCTTTGATACGTTTTCAGCACAGCCGTGAGCATAATTTTTTTTAAGTGGCATATTTTTAGAAGAAATCTGTTAGGCATTATTTTCGATGATACCTGACATCTAAAGAGCACCATTGCCAAATGTGTTGTGCTTTAAAGAGAACATTTGGGGAAATGGCTATCTTAAAAAGATGCAGCACAATTCATTTGAGCAATTTGTTTCAAATTATGTTCATCAGCGTGAATTTACTTGCCACCCATTCTATAGACCTGGGTTATGAGCTGGAAAAAGATAAAATGGCTGGTCAGAGCCAGTGATGGTAGCACAGAGCTAATTCATGCTCAGAGCTAGGAAGGTAATACGAAATAATTGCATTGTGCAAATTAGTGACAAAATAATACTTTAAAAGGAAGACATCCGAATATTTGTTTAATTGACAGCTATTACTTTATTGCATATTAAGAAATAATACTCTGTATGTTTTGTGCCAGTAATGAAGTCTTAATGCTCTAGGAGTTCATTGGAGCATCCTGCTTAGAGCATTGCCAGGAAGGGCAGAGAGCCTGCCCCAGTTTGCAGGAATCTCTGTGCTACTGAGCAGATTGTTGGAGGGTATTTTCCTGGGAATGTAACCAGGAGACCCAGAACAAGGATTTGGGACAGGCAGGT